GGGCCAAATACTGAAATCTGGGTGCGATCTGTTGCCTTCAGTTGGAAATTCAGTTCCCTTCTAACCCCTGATAGAATGTGCTGCTAAATTAATACAACTGATGGCACGCGCTGTGGATCACAGTGTTAGAAACTTTCCAGCTTTCCTGTCTGTGTGTCAGCGTGGTTGCCTCATCTCAGCCATCTCACCTTCCTGAAGACATGCAGTTCTCTGAGCTGCAGAGGTGCTCAGCAAGGCTTGCCCAGCCGAGATGTAATGCTTACATCTTCACCTTTCCTGCTTATGTTTCAAAATCTTCCCCTTGCAGCTGAAACTACAGTCCCATGCAGTCCCAAAGATGAAGGTCATCGGCCTCCTGCACGTACCTGTGTGTGTGTGAAAAAAAACGAGGAGCTGTTGTGTCCCAGCCTGAACTTCATGCACTTCCACCACCAGAACAGATTCCCTGCCTTTGGGTGCTATTTTCTTTTGGGGTGTGTTTTAAGCAGTAAGGAACAGTTACAACATCCTGTTCTGTCGGCTGGCTCAGATGGCTGGCAGCACCTCGTTTCTACACTCGCTTGTGACCTGATGTGCAGCTCTGCAGTCATATCCTGCCTCTTCCCATTACCACTGCTGCCCTTCTGGGCACGCAGCCGGGGCGGTTGAGCACACACTGTGCTGGGCGCTGTGCTCTGCGGCAGCTCCCTGCTGCACTGACGGCCAGGCACTGCTCTGACAGAGCTGCTGGGAAGCACTGAGAGCCGCCAAGCTGGCAGCTGAGCTTTTGTTAAATTCAGCTCCCCAGAGGCTGGCACAAATCTCCTTGTTTCCTTATCACGGCGTTGTGCCAGGCAGGTTCAGGAGCACAGCGTGTGAGCACTGGCTGCATGGATTCCTCCCTTCTCCTTGGAGCCCACGAGAGAAGAGTGTGAAAGGAGTGAAAGATTCAGCACTGGATCTCTTTGGCTACGTGTTGTAGAAGATTTCCTAGTGATTGCTGGCATTGATCTGGGGCTGTGTCTCCTTCCCCAGCTGGCTTGGGCGCTCTGGATCTGCATGGCTGCAGGCTGCTGTGGGGCTGGCAGGGGCACCGACCCAGCTCGGAGGGCTGGGGTGAAGCAGCCTCTATCAGGAATGTCGTGTCCTGGCTGCAAGAAGGGCCACCAGAACAAAGCTTCTAGCAGAACTGTGGTTCTTCATGGGTTCAAGAGCAAAGGCAGATAAAATGATGGCCTCCTCCAGGTGCGTGCCTGGCATGGAGATTAATTTACCCAGATGATTAAGGCAGCAAGTGATGCAGGAAGTGGTGGGGTAATTTAATGACCCAAACAGAAACAGCAAGGAGTGCATTTCCCTTTCAGTCGTGTTGGGATTTGATTTTTGTGTTCCACTAACAAACTGATTGATAAACCATAAGCTTGGAGAAGTGTAATGTATTCCAATGGATTTGTTTTCCTATCTTATAAAGTAGCTGAGAAGCAAAGCTTGTTGAGACCCCTTTTTGGTGACATGTTGCCGTGCGGTGGTCTGTATAGAGGCTGCACCCTGGGCAGCTGTCTGTGTGTCTGCAGGAGATGAGATGCTCTGCATGCAGGCTGGGGACTGCGGGTAGCAGCCACATGGAAATCTGCAGCTCTGCTGTCTCTCCTGCTCATAAATCCAGTGTCAGTTCGGTACTACCTACATTTGTGGAGTATGTGAGCACCAAGCTTTGTGTTGTTTGTGACTCATTCAAATATTTCTCTTTGAATTCTGGCTGAGGGTGGAGAGAATTGTGTCAGTGTTGCTCTTCCAATAGAGCACAAATGCAGACTTTGGCACCGTAAGGCTCAGAAAAGCCCCCGCCGTGGTGAAGCTGTTCCTTCCTCCTCTCTCGCTGTACAACTTGGCTCCAATTAGTTTGTCTTGACTGCGAGATGCTCAGGCCAACACTGCTTCTATTTCAGAGGAACCTGCCAGAGATTAATTAGATCCCAGGCCTGTTGGAAGACTAGCCAGCAAACTCCGTGTGCCATTAAATCAGCACTTATCACACCAACACTGCTGGAATAAACATCCCCTTTGTTGTGCTGCAGTAGGCAAAGATTGCCACAGAAATGAAATGTTTGAACAGATCTGAGCACGATAGCTTCTGAGCTACCTCAGCTGCTTGCTTCGATCAGATGTTAGCCGTGGTTACTGAAATGGCGCGAAGTGTGCAGCACTGTGTGCTGCCCCGCTGTGCTCAGCAGCGCTTTGCCAGTCCCACCCCTGGCAGCACGGAGCGTGGGCAAAGGCTGCAGGCTGCACAGCATTACTGACGCATGAGCATTTCGTGGACATCCACCGCGCTGTATGTCAGGGTACAAGGAGGCGTACAGTCAGCATCAGTCGTTGCTCCAAAGAAACCTGCAGTCTGGAGTCATAAAGAATGAAAGAAGTGAAGTGGAATTGGGAAGACGGTGGAACAAACGCTCAGCAGGATCTGCAAATTTACATTCGGACTCGGTTTGTCAGCAGAGAAGTGACCTTGTCTCGCCGCCCTTTGGATGTGCCTCAGCAAAGCTAATGCAGGGCACAGCAGACTGGCTTGCGTTGGCTCAGCTCACAACAGAGAATGGGGAGAAAGTGTACCCAGAGCACTGGGGAGTGAGGTGCCAGAAGCCAAGAACCAGTGACAGTGCTGGTGAGAGCTGCAGAACGAGCAGGGATGTATCGAACCAATGGCAGAGGTGGGCTGTGGAGAGGGGTGATGTACAGGGAACTGCATGCCAACAACATTAGCAGCAGCTTCAATTAATCTGGGGAGCAGGTGAGAAGAAGGCTGTAGTGGGTACCTCCAGAACCAAGGCACAGTTCTGGCACTGTGGTCAGGGGAAGGGCTGGAGCACAGCTGCAGTGCAGGGCTGTGCTCAGAGCAGGGCAAAGAGCTGCACCACGGACTGCTGAGATGGGGAGATGTGCTGCGTGCCCTCCTGAAACGTTACCACCTGGATGCCAGTCAAATGTACAACTCAGAGCCTTGTAATTTAACATGAAACATCTTGTTCTTGTGCTGACACATGCAGCACTAGGGCTTAAGGATGGCGTTTGGATCGGGAACTTCCTGCTTTGATGGGAAGTAAAAAAGAAAAATCTTTCAAAAACCCAACCAGGTAGGCTGTGCTGCTTCTCTGCTCATTGCTTGACCCTGCTCAGAGCCAGCTGCTGAGAGCCCTGGTGTGACTGCAACAGACTTCACCCATGGCTGATTGCAGCAGGAAGGCAGCTGACATGGAGGATGCTGAAAGAGCAGAGAGTCAGCTGTGTGCTGCACATGCACACATGTGATTATCAGCAGATGGGGAATTGCTTTGGCTGTGGTTAGGCGTTTGGAAATGCTGTGTGTGTCTCAGCAATGAAACGGTATAATGAATTACTTTTAAAATTCTGCTTTCCCTGTACAGAAGGAGCTTCTGTTGAACGACATAAACATGGCGGAGGGAGGAGAAAGCTGCTTCTGTTAGCTGGGTCCTCACACTCAATTATTTGGAAAGTTGAACTTTTTGGTAATGAAAACTTCTTTCTAATGAAACGACCATTTCCTTTTGCAGTAATACAGCAATGGTTCTGGTCTGGAGAACTCCAACCAGGTCATCTGCCATAGGTTAAACTCAAGGCATCTACAGAACAGTCTGGCAGAGGCGCAAATGAGGAACTTCTTGACATTTTAACCTCCGCATTCATGTTAGTACATCATGGCTCAGCAAGGGGACGTTGGTGAGCTGTTCTCAATGCTGGATTCTCCAATTCTGGATGTTCTGGAAGACGTAACAGGTGCTGAGGCTGAGCTTTGTGCTTGGATCTGTCAGTGGACACTGCTTGCTCACGTTTGCTCCAATCCCCGCGCAAACACCCCTGCGTTTGATGTCATTTCTTGAGGGAAGAGAACCCCAAAAGCACTCTGAGCGCGAGCTCTTTTCTCCCAAGAGTTTAAACCTGCATCCGATCCCTTTCAGATGAGGTTGGGGTGATTTGCCTGGGGAAGGTTTCCACCCAGCAGCCCTTCCAGCACTGCAGATGTGCTCCATGTGATGTGACCGCGCGGGGCTTCGGGCAGTGGGAGCTCAGCCCGACCTCTTTGAGCCCCTCCAGCTCGCATTTCGCACGCCAGGATCTCTGCACAGCCGGCCTACAAGGAACCAAAGCGCTCGGATGCACGGCTCACCTGAGTCCATGAAAGAGCGCTGGCACTCACCCTGCGCCCTGCTTATGTTACAGAGGCGTACAGTGATTGAATCCTTCCAACCCTGCTGCCGTAAGCAAGGTGCCGGAGTTTGCAGAAGCCGGGAGCTGTAATTAAATGGTCTGAGCGCCGGGCGTGACCTCAGAGCTCCGCAGAGCCGAGCGACGGGCTGCGAGCACAGGCGGTAAAAGGGCTCAGGGCTGGTGACACGAGTGGCCAACTGCCGCCTCGGACATTCCTCGTGCAAAGGGAGGAAACTAATGACGTTGTTTTAAATGCCGTCCCGCCTCAGCTCGCGCACACACGACTCTGATGGAGGACGCAGGATGTCTGCAAGGACAGCGGCGAGTTTCCACCTTCCTCTTCTGGCGAGTCCGTCCGTGCCAGCAGCAGCGCAGCACCGCGTCCTTCCACCCGCTTCCCCAGGCGGGCGGGCAGCACGGGGCGGGCGGACCTCGGGGCTGTGCCCGCTTCCCGAGCACAGCCGGGCCCGAACTCGCAGCCTCACGGACCGGCCCGCCCTGCGGTACCCCGCGCTGCCGGAGCGGCCGCCAACGGGCACCGATGGCCACGCGCCGTTGCCCCGCACAGAGCGCCCCCTGCCGGGCGGGCGGTTCCGCGAACTCCCGTCCCTCACCGCGCCACTCCCCTTCAGGAGGACTTTAAAATGAGGAAGTCCCACCCCCTCTCCGCGTGGCGATTGGTCTCAGCGCCCGCGCGGTCGGGCGGCGATTGGCCGCGACGCCTTTCGTGGGGCGGGGCTACGGGCTAAAGGTGCCGCGGCGGGCGGGGGCGCGTTTGTCCCGGCCGTGGCGGCGGCGGGTGCGCGTCGCGGGGTCGGTGCCGCGCGCGCCCGCCCGGGGCCGCGCCATGAAGAGCCTCAAGTCCCGCCTAAGGAAGCACGAAGCCATCATCGCGGGCAGCGCGGTGCGTGCCCGGGTGGCGTCAGAAGGGGTCCTGAGGGAACTCGTGGGGCGGCCGGGGCTGGCCCTGGGCACCTTCCGTGGGCTGCGGGGCCGGGCCTGGGCAGCGCTGTGCTGCGCGAGTGTTGGGGCGGGCGGGGGGCTGAGCGAGCCGGGCTGGGAGGGCTGCCGTGCGGGGACGGGCGGGCGGCAGCGGGCACGGGGCACCTCGGGCTGCGGGCTGAGCCCTGCGGCGCTGCGTGCGGTGCCCGGCGCGGCTGGGGCTGCACCGGGTGGAGCGGAGCTGGAGAGACGAGGACGCAGCCTCTGCGCTCGGCTCCGGTGTTGCTTTCTGTCCCCGGGAGACCCGACGCTTCCGTAGCTTTCCCTGCCCCTCGGGCCGCTGTCGGTGCTGCGGTGGAGCCGGAGCGCGGCGGTCATCGCGGTGTGCGGCGGCGAGGTTTGCTTACGAAACGTCCCGAAGGCTTCGGTGGTAGCCGTGCGCTGCCGGGCTGCTGAGCGGCCCTCGGGGTGCTGGGCTGCGGCAGCTGAGCGCTCTGGGAGCAGGGAGCCCTTGTGGCGGTTGGCCGTCGGTGGTTCCTTATGGCTCGGGTTGGCGTTACCTGGCTTTAAGCAGCTTTACTGGCGTCCTTTTTCATTCTTCTCTGCAGGTGGGATTTGATGAGAGCAGTACTTGTGAGCGAAGGCAGCTTGATTCGGAGGCACGGTTTGATTGCTCTTTGATTGTGGTCGCTCGGTGAATGGTTTCCTAGGAGTCAGCCCGGGCTGCTGCCCTCCTCAGCTCATCGCTGCCGTCCCGTGCTGCCTTGCTGAACGCGCTGCTGCCCGCCTGGGGTAGCGGAAAAGGGCGGCTTAATAGGGATATGCTGACTTCTATCAGCCATCTTTTAAGATATTAGATTCCTTTAAAACTCTATTGCTCATTTGTCTTAAATTTGAAAGCATTACTTGAGAATAATAGTTCATTTGAAAGCTATGCAGGCATTCAGGCTTGTAAACTGCTGACAACTCCCTGGGTGAAATGACAGCTCTGTGTATGAGCACATTGCTGTGCAAAGGAGTGATTCAGATGTCTGTTATGATAATCTCTAACGTGTAGGCTGGCACTGGTTTGTGCTCTTCATTAGTCGTGCTATACCTTAGAACTGTTTGTTATTTCAAAGTAAGCCTATGGTAATTAAATGTCAACAAACAGTTGAAGTGATACAGCATTTGTCTTTGGTTTTGGGTAGGTATGGAGGCTTTTCAGTTCTGTGGGAGCAGGCTCGACAAGCCTTCCTTCCAAGGTGGGTTTGATCAGTCTCAGTACTTCTAAGAACTGAAATCACTCTTGAATACCTGAAGGAAATCTACCTTAGCAGAAGTCATTTATAAGCTGGATTTTGTACCCACAGTGTGCTCAGTTCATCTGTTCATTCCATCCTTTGGTTACACAGTCACTCCACCAACTTCTCAAACTTATCCTTTTCTGTGCAGGGGGATTCCTCCTGTATTCCTCCATACAGCTGGTGTTAATGGTGAGGCTGAAGGGAGGTGCTTGGATAAAGCCCACTCTGTTTGTGGCTGCTGGGGCAGGAGGGAAGTGGGTGGGAATCCAGCCAGGCTGAGCTTTGTGGGTCTTGCTTGAAAGCGGTGCAAAAAGAGCTGTCTGTTTCGGAAACTTCATCCCTCTCTCCTGTTCCCACCCAGTGCTATTTCCTGGGGGGTGGAGAGAAACTTAATCCCTTCATCATGCTTCTGAACGTTTTCTTTCAGTTAAGGCAACAGTTGTGTGCCTTAATGTTTTTTGACAGTGATCTTTTGGGAATAGCTTTACTACCTGTCCCATCATGGAGGAAAGCCACGAAATGCAGGAAGTAATTACTAGTTCCACCATTATTCAGGGTGCTACATCTGAAAAATGAATTACCTGGTTTTGCCAGCTCCAGCTGGTGCTCAGGAAATAATCTGAGCAGCCTGCTAGGTAACATCAGTGCTGTGAATAGTGAGACAAATGCTGCTTGTCCTTTGTGCTGCTGTGGGCTGTGTGCTTTGTAGCAGATCCTGTGGCCCATGAAGGCTGCAGTGCACAGACAGTGGCTCACTCACCAGCTCTAACAAGATAAATTGCAATTAATGGAGTCGATATTGTACTGGGTGACTGCAGCAGTATGCACTGCTAGTAGTTCTGAGATTCCAAAACGAGTGCTGACGTAGGTGTGTGTTTGTATCTAGGTGTACATAGGAAGTGTGTTCTTCCAATAAAGTTAGGAATTCCTGCTGCAGTGTATGCAGGAGGAGCTCATCAGATATGCCTGCTAATTGGCTTTTCTTGAGGTTTCCTGGAGAAGATGCGTGGGGAAAGGTTTGTTTCTTGTTCAGACCTTTGCTGCTCAGCTGTTGCTGGTGAGTTCTGCTTGCTGTCCATTACCTGATCAGTGTGGGGCTTGCTGCCTTTCTGTCCTTTGTGATGAGCTCTGTATGGGGGTGGAGGGGGCCAAGGCTGCTTGATGAGATTGGCTGGCTGCTTATGGTGCACGGTGGGAGTCCTGGTGTGTTTGGGCAGGGCTGCAGCTCCTCCAGGCTCTTGGTGTCAGAGGGTGAGGCACTGGGGCAGCCCATGTGAGGAATGCACGGGTTTCAGTTACTGGCAGTGCTTCCTGGAGCACCTCAAGTGATGAGAATGAGCAGGTGGAAAGCCATGCGAAAGCTTCTGTCAGCTTTTTCTCCTTTGAGAAGAATAATGTTAAGGTTATTTAAATTGTATTAATAAACCCTGACTGTCATATGTAATTAGTGGAAACCATTGTGGAAAAAGCAAAGGTAGGCATTTGAGCTCACATCCTGGTGTGACGGTCTCTGTTATTAAATTAGTACCTGACTGACTTCTGTATTTAGGGGCAGCTGTCTGAGGCTGTGTTAGTGCTTTCCTGCCTGTGGATGCTGCCGAGTTCTGCTGGATGGATGGATGGCTTCCTTTGTGTGAGAGGGGCTTGGGATCAGCCCCCACTTCTGCGTTCAGCTCCCTAATGGGAGAGGGCTCCTACTGCTGTGGCACACATTGCTCTGAGGGCAAACAAGACCTTGATGGTGTCACAGCTCTGCCCTGTGCAAAGACAAAGCCCTTGCTGGCTGTGCTGGTGGCAGTGCCTGCTCAGCAGAACCTTCCCTGTGCTGCTGCTGTTGGCTGGAGTAGCTCAGCCCTTCTGTGTGCATCCCAGCACAGCTTCGCAGTGCTGTCCTCAGGCACCACTGCCAGGAATCGGCTCTGTAACATCTGAAAGTCAAATCCTAGCCTGAATGTGATTATTCCTTAGAGGATGTTTGGGTTATTAAAGCTTGTGCTGGTGTGTGCATTCCTTTGAACAAAAATTTGTGCTTCATTTGCATCTGTTTAAATGGAATCATGTGCTTGTTTGTGTGCTGCTTGTGGTTCCTGTGAAGGAACTCAAGGAGAGGCAGGAGCAGCAATTTGTGGTTCAGCAAAGCTCTGTGCTGCAGCCCTGTGCAGGTGCGCTGTAATTTTCGGGCAACTTTAGAAAGGAGTATTTATCAAGGCTTTATTATTTTGGAATGTAGCAATTAGAGAACATTTTATAAACGGGAAGTCCGGGGGATTCCTGCACGCTCTAATGGCGGCTGGTTTTGGTCTCTCCCATTTGGAAGGAAAATGCCTCTTCCTCCCATGGCAGGGCTGTGTTGCAGGCCCTGAGCCGTGGGCTCCCCAGCTCCATCGGTTTGGTGGTGGAAGCTGTGATGCTCTCCTTGCTATAAAGGCCGCAGTGCTGTTTGGTGCAGGCACAAAAGGCAGGCCCCAGCCTTACTGTAAAAGGTAGCTAACAGCCTTTGTTGTGAAGTGCAGCTGTGAGAGCTCTGGCTTTTTTCCAAGGTGCACGGGTAGGTCAGGGCGCTTCTGTTAGTGCCCAGCCGGGCTGTGCCTCGGGGCTGAGAGGCTGGGGGTGGCTCATCAATACCATGCACTTAGGCTATGTGTCGTTGGCAATGAGGTGTGAAGGAGGTTGTATTTAAAAATAAAACTGAAATCTTATTCATTTATTTTGCTGTTTTTTTTCTAGCAGCCTGAGCATCCTTTGGAGCTGTGTGCAGAGTTCAGCACTTCCACTGCAGTTTGTGTGCTGCTGCTGGGCTTTTCCTTACCCCGGCAATCTCATGGAGAAGCTGGCAGTGCTGTTAGATGCACATCTCTCACTGTGACAGTGGTATCTGATGCAGCCTCAGGGCCCTTACTGTGGCTCTGAGAGGACAAGTTGTATATCTGGCTAGAAGGCTCATGTGTTTGTTTGATGCCTAATACTTGGGTATCGATGGGTTGTGCCAACTGCAGAATAGGATTAGAAATGTTTTTAGATGGTTACTGTTTGTTTTCCTCTGATGTTTTGGTTGACTTATTTGTGTTAATCCCGGGATGCCGTTACTTAAACAAGTCATGCAAACAATAAAAATTCTTCACAGGAGCACTTTGAGAGCAGTGCACAAATGGAGCAGCTGTAAGTCTGCCCTTGGGTTTGGTCAGTGTTCAGACTAAGCCTCACCCACTTGGTAGCATTCAGTGAGTTTTCTCTAGGTGGAGACATTGGGGTGAACAAGGTGGTAATGATGTGCTGCATGGGGGGACCTGCTGGGCCATCCCTGTGTTCAGGCTGGCTCTGCTTTTCCTTTATGTGGACTAAATGCTACGTCTTGCTCCTTCAGCTCTGGACTCTGAAACACACTTAAGTGAATACGTACAGACACTGATAAGCAGGACAAGCTTATAAAATACAAAGTGGTTTCCACGTGAGCCCTCTCTCCAGCCCTGCATCTGTGGCATCTTCTGGGCAGCATGGATCAGGCAAAGCCTGAGGGATGGGGATGGCATTAGGTGGTAGGAATCCATTCTGCAGGGGAGCAGAGCCTGGTGAATGGTTCTGACAGAGCTGAGGGGATAGCTTGGGCTGCTGAAGCTGCAAACAGTCTGCAGTGTTCAAATAAATCACTGCTTCAAAAGCAGCCGCCGTTCAGTGC